CCTAAGCTCATATTTTTTCTTGTATCTTGTTTTCATAGAACTCCACTTATGCAGCCAAGAGAAAATACATGTCTGAAAGAGCATGAAGCCTTGTTAGATGACATGACACAGCAAGGACTTTTAAAATGTGCCTTTAATCGGACAATGGCTCCAGACACCGGAATGGACATTCCAGGAAAAGACATTTTGAAACTAGTTACTTTACTTTTTTCAAGTAATAGTGTATTAGATATTTGCAGGGCAATGTTTGACATCGAAGCCTTTAAGGAGTGTATGTGGAAGCTGTTTTTGGAGGAAATTAGGGAAAATACAAGGTATATGTGCATCAAGGGACACAGTTGTTTAAGCAGAATTGATTTTGACTCCTTGAAGTCTTTTCAGTGGGAAGACCTAATTACAGAGATGTATGATCACCAGAGGCAATTTCTGCAGGTTTTACTCTCTGTGTGTACGTCAACCAAAAATTCCCAGAATTCCCAACACTTCTCCAATGTAGGCAAGGAGCTTGGACTCATTTATGGAATTCTCATGAAGAGGAGATCCAGCTCCCTATCAAGAGTCCAGCGAGTGACGTCCATCTCCCTTGCAGATGAAAGAGTTCACCAAAAGGTTAGGAAATTAACATACAAAAGCTTTTAATTTTACTATTCATGTATATATAATTACTGTTTCATGTACACATGATGTACACATTTTCATTTTTTTTTAAGTATTGCTTAAGTTCTACCATTTTGCCAATAATCAAGTTATATGTATTAATACATCTCACAATTTTTTTTTATTCACAAACAGGTATTGTTATGTCCATCATGTTCATATGTACTGATATGAGAGATAAGTAAAAGATTCTATGTACCAGTAGTAGTAGTATATTATTGTAAAATTGGATTCTCCTTTCTTCTTCTTTTTTTCTTAATTTCGTAGATTTTCTACTGGAGCCATTTTAAATTAAGTGCAGAAATTCAAGGTGTCTAAAAATGTGAATCTGAACAAAAATAATTGAATTCTTTTCATTTGAAATAGATTTTGGAGTCTAACATAACAAATCCTGCTGATATTCATCATGTTGTTCATTTAAAGATCCATTCGGTCATATACTGTGCATTCTGTGTACTATATAATAAGCGTGCCTTTATATGATGAAATTGGATCTTTTTTACATTTTTTTACTGTATTCAGTTCGACTACTTTTGAGTTTTAAAACAATACGTGTGTAATTGGTAAGTAGACAACAGTATTAAGGTAAGCTTTACATGTACTTTCATAATTCTTGTTGATAATTTTTTCTTTTCATTTGAAAAATATTGAATAAGGTTAAAGAATGTGTATACCTGATGTCACATGAAAAATTGATAATGAATGAGCTTCTTCTTTACTTTTGAAGGTGTATGACAGACTGCAGCCACTGGGCATTACCACCTCTCACTGTGTCATGCTGAGAACTCAGAAGCAGATTAGTGGCCATTTTAACTCGCAACTAATTCAAGCCGTCAAGGAAGGCCGAACATTCCGTCTCATAGGAGATAATGTTAACTTTATGGTTGATGTGAGTCGTCAACGGCAAACCAATAAATCACATATGGAGCACTGGTTTGCGTCCATGGCTATTATTCAGCACAGCAACTTCAGCATTCTGTCAACTGCAAGACCCCAAATTCCCTTGTTAGAGTTAACTCCATCGTCTTTTTTACCACAGCTTGTGACATGACCCGGCGAGTTTCCTTTGAAGTCAAGCATACTGTAACTGCGATACAGAACACTTTTTGTGGGCGTTTCTTATGCAAATGAGCAGAAACTGTACTGTATCTGCAAAATATCAACGATACAGTACGGTTTATTTTTAGCGATGAGGGAAAGCTGAATCTGTGTACAGACACAGGAATCGTTCAATTCCCATGAAAGCACTGTTAGTATTTACTCAAAATTTGAGGTGAATTAAGAATAAAATTATACAACGTAAAGTTATTAGTGTCGAATTCAAAAATTTTAGAAAGGTAAGGAGTAGTGGAACAGTTCACAAATGATTACTATGCCCCCCCCCCCCCCCGAAAAAAAAATAAGTGGAAACCCGTATATTACACTCGGGAAGGGGGTAGCTTTACAGCCAACCAAGACACTATGTGGTGCTATTGTTTATTGTTGATAAATTAAAAAGCGTATGTATACAAGTTTAGCAAAAATCATTTATGAAAGAGAAAAAGAAAAAAAAAAACTCACAGGAGGGTTGAGTGGGGGGCACCAGTAAGTGCTGGGATCCCCTTTGGTTTCCTACATTTTATTACAAACATGAAGGTAAAATACACCCCCCCCCCGCTTTCATTTCATCTGTTTATTTCATTTTTTTTTTTTACATTACGACAGGTGTAGGACATTGTTAGACATTTTTTTCAGAATACGTTTTCCCCGAAGTATTTTTGTTTCAAAAACATTAAATTCCCACATGATTCTTATATATTAAAATGTTTTGCATTTAATCGTAGCTTAAATTAAAAAAAAAAGAAGTCGGCAACAGCTGAATAAAGAAAAGAACATACGCAATCAAATTATTTTTTTTTTTTTGGAAAACCAATTATATAATACATCCCCTAAATAATTATTTTAAAATGATAAATACCTGCACGTCCACCTCTCTCGGCATTTCAGTTGCGAATGCTTAAAATGGGATACTAAATCAACTTTCTGCTAAAATCATCTGATTGGTTGAGAGATATGTACCCAAATATGAATGTAAATTGGTGAGGTCATTAGAAAGGTCATGTCACAAGTCATTTAGAATACTCGTTTCCTACTGTATCAGAGATACAGGGCGGGGCCCGGCTCGAGCTATCGCTCTCGCCTCAAGCCCCGCCCTGTATCTCTGATACAGTAGGAAACTCGTACTCTAAATATAACTTAGTGATTGGCAGATCATCAGAAACTGCTACATTCTTGTCATTTTGGAAATTCTATGCAAATTCTGCAAGTATTTTCAGAATTTTAAGTCAGTGAAAGAGTATATAAAAGCAAATCTCAGGCCAGGGGACTATGACATTTCCCAAATCCACACAAGTGTTCCCCTACCAGTTTTGCCGAAGAATGAACAAAAGTATGCCGATGTCATAGAAATCTTGGACTTTTACGAGAACATTGGAAAAAATGTGTGTGGGGAAAGTAATGTTTCAGTGCATATTGGAGGAGACCAACTTACACGAGAGAGGTTTTCTGGTGCGAAGAGATTACGTGCGGCATCCATAACACCAAGGGATAGATTTGAACATCTTTCACCCATCACATTCGAATTCTTCCACCTGCAAATGTCTATTTTGACTCTCTTTTATAAGCTTCTTTACCAGAAAAGTGGAACTGCTCTGGGGACCTTAAATGCCGAGAAAATTACATTGGGACGAACAAAAGCCAATGGTGATGATGTAAAAAACCACTATAATGACTGTAAAGAACTTGCAGATTCGTTTATTTCTGGCTATGTTGTTAATGCTGTTATGCATTTCTTTGAAATGGAAGAGATGAACTCACAACCAAACAGGGCCTTTGCAGCAGTAGATATTTCATCAGCAACAGAAGAAGAAAAAGAGAAACTTGTTGTGGGTTCCCTTGGAGAATTCGTAGATGAATTCATATTGAAAGAAGCCAAGTCTAATCTTACAAAAAAAAGCAACTTAAACCAGCAGATTACCTGTATCCTTCCAGATGGAGGAAAGTTAATCCTGAATATTCCAGTGTCTGTTCCTCAGGGTATTCCAGAGAAAAGAGATGATTGTGTGTTCAGCTATGGAAAAGCTGTGTTAGAAACTGATTATTGTATCAATGTTTAAATCTTCTAATTAAGATTCCAAATCGAGAAATATTTATCTCGCTAATGAAGTACATCATGTGTGTAGTGAAAGGGAACAACAACCAGTCCAAATATGCTTTGGAAATACTGAGATTCCTTTTTTTGCAAACCTCAGTGCTCGATCTAAAGACTGCCAAAGAAACTTTCTATGGACTCTTTGTTAACCAGAAAGGCAAAATGGACACAAACATTCCAGCTGATCTTCACATGGAGCACTTTGTCAAAGAGACAAAAGAGCACCTTAAGTCGCTTCATGCAAACAAGACAGAGTCTTCCGTGCAGTCCCGATCCTCTGCCATAGCTGGAATGCGTCAAATATCTGCAAATTATGATGAAACAACACATGTACTTTATAGAGCTAAAAGACATTGCACACCTTCATCAGAAGAGGATGAGATCAATATAATTCAAAGGTTATTACGTGTTAGACCTTTTGATATTGTTGATGGACGTAGTCTAGAATGCTACACAAAACCACTTGCAAGTCCACTTGCAAATATAAATTTGGGACACTTACAGGAATGGATTAGGAGTCATCAGTATGAGATTCTCAATGACTTTGGCATCTAATCTGGTAAGAGATTTACAATTCAATACATATCCAACCCAGTTTTTTTTTAAATTTAATATTTAGTCTACTGACTCTACTCAGTTAAAAAGACAAATTTTCAATTATGTTTTTTTTCATCATGTGACAGTGGAAATGTAAACACATGGTAAAAAAGATTATCAATGCATTTCTATTAAACTCTTTTGTGTCACCTAGTGATTATCTAAACCTGTCATGCGACCATTTTAATCACTTCATAACACTTGTAAGTTATGTTGACCAGGTTTAAGTTTACTTGAGGCTTAAATTCAAAATAGCTTTTCCAATTGTCCTATGTCTGTCTGTCTGTTGTAAAGAATTTTAACTTATAAAGTACATACATGTATTAATATAATTGTGTCCCTTACACTTGGGCATCACTCAGAAAACTTATCATGTTTATTAATCATTAAATGTACAGGTTATTGATCATTTGAAAAAAGCCAAAGTGGATGACTATGAATTCTTTCCATACTCTCTCCCCATAACTATTGCATATAAATGGGAGTTTTAATTAATGAACAGGTGAACACTTACACAGATGAACACAAAAATATCAGCTCGATGGGCTAACTGTTTTTATATTTAGCATGTTCAGGACAATACACTGGTGGAATATACATTATGTACCATGAAGCAAACAGCAGTTGAAAGGCATTACATTGACACAATAAATTTTATAATTGTACATAAATTTTCAGCATGTTCAAGATTCATTCGAAAATCCTGAATTAAGTTCTCTTTCTCCATATATCTAGAATAATTGTGAATAATAGACTCTATTTCATAAAAAGACATCTGTAACTCATTATGTGAAATGTACTCTGACAATGATTGTCGAATGGCAGATTTCACTTCTTGCTTTAGATGTGGAGAAGAATTCCATTCTGATAAGCTAGGATCACAAATGTTACAGCACAATGGTTGCTTGTTTTCACCCTCTTTGTTGTCAACAGAGCATCCAAAGTAGTCATTCAGCATTTTTCTCCGACAGGTTGATTCATTTTTACAGAAGGCCTTCATTGTTTTGCTCATTTCAGGTCTGCCTACATCACTGTTGTTAAAGAATAAAATTGCAGTTGCTTGTTTTCCAGTTCTGCCTGCACGTCCCACTTGCTGAATGTAAGCTGTTGGAATACATGTATTAATAAACATTATAAAAGATACCCATCATATTATAAGTTAGCATTTATATACCATTCAAGTATTGTTTATAAAAATGCATGTATGCGGAGTGCATTTTTTTAAAGTGGGATGCGTAGATGTTTTAATCTTTTATACTCTGTACATACTATTAAGTGTACTTTAACATGTTTAAGTCTAAAATGTTCACAAATTTGGTAGATATTATTGCTTGACTCCATATTCAGTTAATTCCACAGAAGCATGATAATCATGGATAATAATAACTCATTATTTTTATGTACCGGGTATAAGGAAATTACTAGAGTATACTAGATGATAAGATTCAATAGAAAGTTACCCTCAGTGCTTTTAGGTGGACCTGCATGCACTATTCTTTCAACAAGACCAAAATCTGCCCCCATACCAAGGGCAGAAGAAGCCAATATGATCCTCAAGGGACTTTTTTCAGAGGAAATTTGATGAAATATCAACTCCCGTAGCTGAATGTAATAAACAGATCTATTTATTTGGGCCTCACATCATTTAATTCTTGATTATTGACACAACAAAACCAAGTATCCTAAAACTTTAAAGACATTTAGTCAAGGGACAGCAGTTAAATACTTCAATAACTATGAGGTTGTAACTCTTGAACCTAAATATATTTTCTTTTTTTCTGTTGGGCCCTGTTGTTTCTGGTTTTTAGTAATGCATGTACCTTCAACATAATCAACTCAAACTGTGGTTAACAATACATTTTTTTTTTAAATGAAATGATAAAAATTATATTCTCATTCAATATTTTAATCTTAATTTTCGTGTGATTTGCAGTTCTTACCTCTTCACTCCCATACTCCACAGATGCATGGTACATGACAATTCTGGCGTTTTCTGGCCTCTTTTCCCCATTGTACAACAAGTCCCCTAATACTCTGCAAGCATGCTCATAAGCAAATCCAATATAGTTCAGTGATGAATTAAAGTATACTATAGTTAGTGGAGTATTACTCAATTTGTTTTTCAGTTCATTGAATAAAACATCTAAAATGTGTCTGTAGGACATCCTTACATCCTTAGAATTAGAAGGTCTTCTTAAAACACTTAGTGAAATGTTAGACTTAACTGGTATCTCACCATGGATTCTAAAATCTTTTAATGATAGAGATCTTTGAATATCAGCCTGACCTTTTACAGAGAGTGTTGCAGAGAGACAAAGCATATTTGCATGAGGAAGTACAGCCCGGAGTTCCACTAACTTGCTGTACTCGGGACGAAACTCATCTCCCCACTCCAAAATACAATGAGCCTCATCAATTACAATAACAACTCTGTTTTCTTCAAAATATTTGCACTGAAAGAATTTATTGACCAGTGGTTTTCCCAGTATGTTCTCAGGGTGGCTGTAAACATAGCTATATGAAAATTGTCCATCCTCAATGGTTTTGCTTATATTTAAGTCTTTAAGAACTACAGCCATACCATCTAATTTGGACATTTGTTGATTGATAATCACATTCAGGGGTTCCACAACTATAACCTTAGCGTCAGGCAATACAAATGGAATCAATTCATAGATGAGGCTTTTTCCGTAGCCCGTTGGTAATGCTGCAATTACATCATGTCCATTTAAAACATCCAGAAGTGCACTGTATTGTTTTGGCTTAAGTTTTACAATTTTGCGACCAGTCCTTTCATTAAACTTCACCAGTGCTGCATCAATGTCATCTTGAGTAAACTATTATAAATAAATCAATCTATGAGTTAGAACATCAATCCGAGTGAAAATTGAGATCAATACTGAAGTTTTAAACTATACCAGTAACGCTTAATATCATGCGGCAAAGATGAAACATAGCCAAGATAACAATTACATTTTAATGTAGAAATGCCCCCAGGATTTGAACCTGGTCCTCCTCATTGCCATTTTAAAGAGAAAATCTCTAGCATGAAGTGTGCTGACCATTTACACCAAGGCATTATGTTGATGAGTATACAGTGTACATGCATGTTATTGAATTATTCAGTGTATAAGAATCTATAGTAGTATAGTTTAGTACATTACCTTGAGAAAAATGCATTTTTATAGCAATAAATTGATTTTGAAGCTAAGCTACCTCAGATAGGTAAATAAAGCTAAAAAGGTAAATCAAGTTACGTAGCTAATCTAGTGTAGCTGTGATTGTACTGGACCTCTTTGTTACCGAGCGTTAGGTAGGGATCGCCTAGCACTCGAAATCGGGTATTTCCTTGTCGGATCAATCTCGTATAAAGCTTTTAAAGTGTAGAGAAGGTGTTTCTTATGCCATCTGTATGTTTGATTTGCATATGAACCAGCAAGAAAAGGCCCAATTCTCCAAAAGTAATTTGGACTAATCTAATGTTATTTTACCTTACTCGCCGCCATGTTGAATTGTCCATAGGGCGCCGCCATTGGACAGCGGATTGCCTTCGTGCTTGCACTCGGAAGGCCTCGGGTACTAGGCTATATGGTGGGCGGAACTACTTTCCGTTCTGTATTAGCCCTGTTTTCTGTCTTGTATTAGCCAACTATTCTGTATCGAAAATACAGCACGGTTTAAAAATAAATCTTTGGGGATGGACGAGTGCGTAGCACGAGTCTCCTCTCCCAATTTTGTATCTACGATACAGAACCTGTCGAGTTCTCTAAATGATTTGTGACACGATCAATCAAAAATAGCCCTGCCCACTTTATAACTTTGCAGCATCCAAACTTCCGCCAGAGTTTTGTAGTTGAGGCCCCGACGGGGAATACGCATCCGCAGTATATATTTCCATGGAAAACGTAAAATTCGGTCAGATTAGTTTTGACAATTTAACGGGGTAGACGTAATCGAGTGATAGTCAGTTTTATTGGATAAGGTCAGGTGGATGTTTAACCGTCATTGTTGTGAACTATTGAAGATGGAGATTGATCATAATATATTTCAGGGTTCTTAAAATCCCGGTTTAACTAAATTTACAAAAGCAGGATTTACAGAAAATTCTTCGATGGACTTTGAAGTCACGGATTTTTATTTTCTAATTGAATTGCGACATTAAAAACAAAGTGAAAGAGACTTGTGGCTGTCGTCAGCGAGAAGGATTTTTAAAAATAAAAAGCGGAAAAATGGACTTGAAGAATATTGCACGAGAAGAGTGGATATTTTCCATTATTGCGAATTTTCCGTTTCGCTTGGATCAAAAATATCTGTAGAGGATGTTTTCCGTTATTGCGAATTTTCCTATTAGTTTGGATCGAAATTACGTGTAGATTCTGTGGAATAAGTTTTTAAAAAGTGATTGAGAAATTTTGACATTTTACATTCTCAGGAAATTACCGGGTATTTCTCCAAAATTTATAATAGGAAAACATCGGCATTTACTATTTGTACGTGCTTTTGCTAAATTGAATCAGATTTAAAATTTTTAGACCGTGCTGTATTTTAGATACGGAATAGTTGGCAAATACAATAGTCTATACAGGGCTAATACAGAACGGAAAGTAGCTCCGCCCACCACAGTCCCGTTCTGTATTGCTAATACAGAACAGTCAACTTCAAAGAAAAACACCGCTTATATTTGATAATAAATAATATAATAATAACAGTCCAGAATAAGTTTTGAGAACAAACCGTCTCAAAGATATTTGAAATCAAATTCTACATCTGAATTTGACTTGAATTTGTTACAGAACTACATTTCGTCGACTATATATCGATAAAATCTTAATATTTTTCCTTATTTCAACAAACAAAATAACCAAGCGTTCTAAAATGCCGTGATAAAATACGTACAAATGGAACACTTACCTTGTACCTTCCGCTCTTCACGCAGTCGTCACTACCATGCACGAACTTTGTATGAGTGTAGAAGCACGAGTATTTTTATCTGTAGTGAATCAGTTATCAAAAGATTGTTGTATGATGCTCCAAAGAACGAAAACCCATTTAGGACCTGTCACAAAAAAGTATTTTTAAAAATTCGATACATAACGAACTGTCGAATATTTAAATTCGTTATAATATTTTTTTCATTTGAAAAACAAAATATGACGTTATGACAGCTAGAATATTTAAGGAATCACTGTCTCGTTTGTTGGGTATGCGAGGGCATCAACGATGGTTGGAAACGTGGGATAATTTGCATAATTTAAATGCATAAATTATCCCACGTTTCCAACCATTGTTAACGTCCCTGGCATACACAACAAACGAGACAGTGATTCCTTAAATTTACATTTCATTGTGAAATAAAATTCTCAATTTAGATTTTAAAATTTTTGAATTAAATCACACGAGGGCACCCACGTCAATTTCAACAGTCCCCACCCACTGACTCGGACACAAAGACAGACACACGAGTTAAGTCTTTGTAGCTCCTGACCTTCTTTTTCGCGAAATTTACATTCCGGTAGACTGTGGGACGTAGAAACCGGTCCATCGGCGTCTCCACATGAGGGAAAAATTCTCGAGAGGGACGTTAAACAACATACAATCATTCCGGTAGAATGATCAAGAAATCAACTCACCTAACCTTTCAAAGAGTTATCACAGAGAAAAAACAAATAGAAATGAAAATACTTTCTTTGGTTGTTAGCGAGAAAATTAACGTCGCAGCTGTTGCATTAAAGAATAATTACTGGGAGTGTGTGATTTTTTTCTGCAATAGCTGCGACGTTAATTCCCTTACTAGTAAGTAACTAGGTCAAAGAAAGAAAAATTAATAATAATCTTTATTCAGAAATAGGCATTATGCAATGTACATTAACAATGAGGTGTGAGTATTATACATATTTAAAACTTTTAAATAGACAGACATGATTTAAGAGAATCAGATGAATTATATTTTTAAAACGAATGAACTAATAAAAATTATTTTGTATATAAATCAAATAAATATATAATATTGAATATGCCTAAACTCAAGGATAGCCCATGAAAGCTAACATTGCTTATATCTAATGGAGTCCTTTCACAGGAAACAAAATTACTGGTATATGACATACATGTATATAATATATTTGATATAAACAATAAATAGTATACTATGGCTTAAAAGTCCTATCATACTTAATGTGCAAGAGCACCTAAAACAAAAGTTCTTAATTATTTAACAAGGAAGAGCAGTTGGGTTATAAATCTGATTGTATAAAAAGTCCTCTTTTTGCCATTTTCTTGAGTTTATCCATAAAATGTTTTTTGATCTCTTTTATATATATATATATATATATATATATATATATATATATATATATATATATATATATATATATATATATAACAGTTATTGTTTTTATCTGGTCTGGTAGGGAATTCCAATCAACTCCCTTCATAAAAAAGCTTGACTTTCCATTCTTTGAGAACCCTTTGCACAAAAAAATTAAATTGACTTGACCTTGTAAATTTCATTTAAAATTGCTGTACATATCATTTTTGGGACCTTTATTATGAAAAATATTGTAGACATGGTTAAGGTGTAACTGTCAAACTCTACTTCTGATATTCAAAAAATCCAATTTTTCAAATTTACAAAAAATAACTTTTGATCTATGTGAAACATCAAGATAAAGTCTAATAACTTGTTCTGTGCAATCTGAAGTCTATTTTTCGCAATTTTTGGATAGGCCTCCGTACCAACAATAGCAAAATCGATGTGACATTGATGATTTTGTTGAAATAAAAATTTAGGTCGTTGGTTTGTTTAAAAGACATTTTATTGTTAAAAATCATTATACCCCAACTTGAAAAGCGGGAGGGTAGATAGTGATCGGAATGCCCGTCCGTCCGTATGTCTGTGCGTCCGTTACGCTTTGGGGTACCCTTTCTTATCCGCATGCAGCTCCTCTTTTGCCTCTGAAATTTTAATGAAACTTTTACAGAATCTGTGTTACATAGTATCATTGTGCACCACCGATTTTAATTTTTGATCTGACACTTATTTCGGGTTTCCCAGAGCAAAACATGGACTTTGCAATTATAATTATCATTTAGTGAGCTCATGCTCACAGTACTTCTAGTTTAAAGTAGGGATTAAAAAGATTTATAACATTGAAAAAATCAATAATTATATTGTTGATATGTACCTCATA